CCGAGCAGCCGTTGGGGGACCCTTGTTTCCCCTTTCCCTAGTTACAGCCTCTCAGCTGCAGATGCCGCCCTGGCCCGGGAGGCCCTAAGCAGGGACCAGGCCTGATCTCGTTTACGTTTCTGAAATTTTATTTTATTGTTTTGAAGTTGGATTCTTTTTTATTGCGGTTACTGTTGATTTACAACATTGTATATGATTGGGGGTACTGGTTCACACCCCCCCCCCATCAGTTACATTTTAGAGGCCTCTGACTGCTGCGGGTCCGGGCGAGGTCAGCGGCCACCCGGAGCCCCGCCAGGTCCTGCGGCGGGGTCCAGAGCCCAGGCTTGGCCCGGCCGGACAGCACAGCAGGCATGCAGGAGGGGCCTCGGTTGGGGGCTGCCCAGTGGGGTGTCCAGTAGCACCCGTGAGTCCCTTCTAACACTGCCGAGACCTGGACCCCATGGACTCAGGGACTGGAGAGCCCCGCCGGGCCGAGGCCAGTGCCCGCAGTGTGGGGGCCGTGCTGGCTGGGGTGTGGGGCACTGGCTGGGGTGAGGGGTGCTGGCTGGGGTGCCGGCGAGCCCGGCAGGCTTCTGGACTATCTTTGGGCTCCCCGGGTCCTGGGCACCGACACAGAGTGGGCCCTGGCTTGGGGGTGGAGGTGGGCCGAGGTGGGGGGTGCAGGACTTCGTGGAGACAGGGCTCAGGGGCGGAGCACGAGCGGTGCAGACCAGAGGGACGAGCTGTGGGTCAGCCGGGCGGGCTCCATCCGCACGTCCCGGCTCAGACATCAGTGATGTTACGTTCACACACCGCCTGGTCCCGTTGAACCCCGGGTGGCCAATGGCCCGCATGAGGTGGGGTGAGGGGCCGTGAGGCGCGCGTCCAGCCTTGGGCTTCCTGGGGAACTGCGAGGCTGGGCTCCTGGTGGAGAGAGGCCTCAGGGGCTCCCGTCATGTCTTTCCCCACTTCCTCCCAGTCTGAAGAAAGGAAAAGAATCGACGAGTTGATTGAGAGCGGGAAGGAAGAAGGCATGAAGGTAAGCGCAGCCCCTTCATGCCCCTGGTGCCAGGTGCTTCCAGCCCCGGGCCGCCGCGGGCCTGTGGGGACCGAGCAGCCTGGGGGTGGCTTTAGGTGACATGTAAGCCCGAAGAAACTTAACTTTTCACTTGTGGCAAAATACATAAGACACAGAATTTGCCGTTACTGCCGTTTGCAAGCGTGCAGTTCAGTGGCGTTCGTTACATCCACAACCTTGTGAAAGCGTCATTGCTGTCTCGTTCTGCAACTTTCCCATCGTCCTAATTGGAAACCCACACCCACTAGCACTCCCTCCCCCGCAACCTGCTTCTGCCTCCCCTGGGCCCTTTTCCGGACCTTTCCTGTGAGTGGGGTAAGAAAACGTAGTTGAATCTGGCTGCTTCCACTGAGCATGATGCTTGGGAAGCGCTTCATAAATTTTCCCTAAATTCTGTTTCCCAGGCACTGGTAAGGAAACGCCCAAGAAGTTGACCTTTATTTCAGTGTATTTCAAACCCATCCAGGTGGATGTGAGGGGAGTAGCCCTCCCAGGTGGATCTGGGCTAGAACCCAGGGGTTTCTCCCCATCCTCTGGGCTGAGCTTCAGTCTGGGCCCCGCAGCAACCCCCCTGTGACCCCACTGAAGGTAGAGTGATGAAAAACAGGACAGTAAAGTACAGAATATAACAGGAGGACCCAGAACCCTGGCCCTGCCATCCCTCTGGAGAGCCGGCCCGCTGGGGGCGTCTGTTACTCTGAACCTACCTTCTGGCTCATCACCTCCCAACAGATTGACCTCATCGACGGCAAAGGCAGAGGCGTGATCGCCACCAAGCAGTTCTCACGGGGCGAGTTCGTAGTGGAGTACCACGGGGACCTCATCGAGATCACTGACGCCAGGAAGCGGGAGGCTTTGTACGCGCAGGACCCTTCCACGGGCTGCTACATGTACTATTTCCAGTACCTGAGCAAAACCTACTGGTAAGCCCCCCAGGGCCCTGGTGGCTTCTGCCCGCTGGGCAGGGGGACTCGCCAATCTCGGCAGGTGCGGGCACTGCTGGCGAGGCTGTGGCCTGGAGAGCAGCCCGGCCCTTGCTGCTGCTCCAGCGCCTCCCTGCCCTTTTTTTTTTTTTTTTTTTTTTAAAGATTTATTGATTTATTTTATACAAGAACCAGGGCATAGGCCAGATGTGCGGGAGGGTGAGAGGATTCACCAGAGACAGAGCGGGGAACAGAACAAGCAGACTGACGAAATACATTGCTGAGGGGAGCAGTGGGCAAGACAGGAGAGGTCTGCTACGCCATGTGGGACCCTCACCGGCTGGCTGGGATCAAACCCGCGCTGCAGAGGCTGCAGACAGCTTCACAGCGCGGCGCTCAACCACCTACGCCACCAGGGGAGGCCCTCCCTGCCTTCTTGCTGCCTTTTTCCTGAGCTGTGAGGCAGCCCTGCGCCCCACCCCTTCCATCTTCGGAGTGGGGACAGTCCCGGATACGGAGAAGGTGGGCAGGCAGGGAGAAGGGTCCCTGGAGCCTATGAGAGGCTCTCCTGGCCCCTCCCTGGACATGTGGCTCATGCTTCTTGTTCCATGTGGCCAGTGTGGTTAATGTTTTTTCATTAGACTTTATTTTAGATTCCTTCAAAATGACACGCTTGCACGCACACTGTGTGCACACCTTCCCCGCTGTCAGCAAAGTTGCTTTTTATGCACTTATTTGTGATACAAAACTCTAGAGTTGCCTCACAGGCTTTCACAAAGAGCCTCTGCATTCCTGAGCTTCCAACCCTGCCTCAAGCACCCGCCCAGTACCATCTGGACTTGCAGAGATCATTTTTTTTTTTTTTTTTTTAAGATTTATTTATTTATTATTTATACAAGCACTGGGTGCAGTGAGAAGCGTGGGAGGGTGAGAGAATTCACCAGAGCCAGAGCGGGGAACAGAGCAGAGCAGGCAAACTGACGAAATACACTGCTGAGGGGAGCAGCGGGCGGCAGGAGAGGTCTGTGTGCCATGCGGGACCCTCGCCTGGTGGCCGGGGATCGAACCGGCGCTGCAGAGGCTGCGGGCAGCTTCGCAACCCAGCACTCAACTGCTGCGCCACTGGGGAGGCGCCAGAGATCATTTTTTGAGTTGAATTGTTCCCTCCCCGCCCCAAAATAAAGAGGAAACAGAACCCACACGGCTCTCAGTTGTGACCCACAGGGCTGAGAGCCAGCGTGGCCCTGACTGAGCTCAAAAGCCTCTGGGTCACCGTCACCCTCTCCCCTCTCCCCTCTCCCACCAGCGTGGACGCCACTAGGGAGACCAACCGCCTGGGCAGGCTGATCAACCACAGCAAGTGTGGGAACTGCCAGACCAAGCTGCACGACATCGACGGCGTGCCCCACCTCATCCTCATCGCCTCGCGCGACATTGAGGCCGGAGAGGAGCTACTGTACGACTACGGTGACCGCAGCAGGGCTTCCATCGAGGCCTACCCCTGGCTGAAGCATTGACCCGCCGCCACCGCCCCCCCCACCCCCCATGGACAAAGTGCCCTCAAAGGGAATTGAGAAAAAATTTTTTTTTACACACACTTAATCTTAGCAGATTACTTCAGATGTTTTTAAAAAGTATATTAAGATGCCTTTTCACTGTAGTATTTAAATATCTGTTACAGGTTTCCAAGGTGGACTTGAACAGATGGCCTTATATTACCAAAACTTTTGTATTCTAGTTGTTTTTGTACCTTTTTTGCATACAAGTTGAGCGTTTGCGCTTCCCGTGCATGTAGTCAAAGACTCAGCACAGGTTTTAGAGGAAAGAATCAAATAGGAACTAGGAAGCGGGGCGATTCTCCTGCCTGCAGCCGGGGAGCCGGACCGTCCCCCGCAGCCTCGCAACGGCCTGGCCGGCTGCTCCCAAGCTCTTGTTTTCCTGAGGCCTCAACAGGCACACATGGAAGTGTATGAATGAATATTTTTTAAAAAGGTTTCGCTGTAAGTTAGTCTTCCCCTCTGCTTTCTCGAAAGCTTAACCAACCCGGTGGCCGGGACTCTGGCCGGCCTGGACTCGCCTCTTCCATGGGCTGCCGCTCTGCTGGGCCTCTTGAAGCATCCGAGTTGACGCCGGCAGGGAAAATCGTGGCTGACCTACCCCTGCCGGGGCCGGGCTTCCCAAAACTGGGTTCATTCTTTATAGAAATGTGAACACTGAGTTTATTTTGAAAAATAAAAATCAAAAAAGAAAAAACCACAGAAAACAACTTACGTGTATATAGGACTTGAAGTGAGTGAAGTGGCTGCGTTTTTTGTTTTTAACCCTTCTTCTTTTTTTGGCTTTTGGTTTTTGTAGAAGAGATTCGAGATGGTACTCTATTCTAATCAAAAATAAAGCTTTGTAGTGGGACCAGAAATTACTTACCCAGTCCTCCCCTTCACCCCTCATCCAGTTTTGCTGGGTTGAAGGTTCCAGACCTGTCCAGGCTGTTTGTCCCACCTCCTGGTGTTCGTCTTGCAAAGATGCAGCCATGAACGACGGGCTTTGAGACCGGACCCCCGCCCCAGCCACCTCTCCCGCTTCAGAGAAAGGCAGTGGGGTGTGCAGGAGCCCAGGGGAGCGGGCCCAGGGCCCAGGGCTCACGGCTAAGGGTGAGTCTTCACCTCCGTGTGCCGTCAGGAGGAGGTGGTTTCCTTCTCCCTCCCAAAGGGGGGCTGATGCTCACTCTTAGCCTGCAATCCTAGGGTCTTCTGGCCCCCCATTCCCAGGTAAATGTGAATGGAAACACAGGTATGAGGGCCTGTCCTCAACCTTGTCATCCCCGGCCCCTTCCCTCCCACCCCAGCCTCACCACGGTGCTACCTAAGAAAGTCTTCCCCCCGCCCACACTTGCCTGGTCAGTGGTCAGCAGTTGGAGGAGGATCCGACGGGAGTGTGCAGATGTGAGATACATGTCTTGGTTGTACCTGTTTGTGGTTTAGCTTTGTATTTAAAAGAGAAAGAATAAACTTGAAAACTATTTGTCATCATAAAAATGAAAAATTAAAATATTTATTGCCAGGCGAGGCTACCTATGTGTCTGTTTTTTATAAGGTGGCAGGGGGAGAGAGCAGGGCTGGGATTTCCGACTCGGCCCCGCTATGTGTAGACATATGTACAGACGGACGCAGCGGCTCCGGGCATGTCCCAAAGAGGCGACGGGAAATAGTTGTGGAAAGTATAAAAGACATTTAATACAAAATCACTTAAAATCAGCAAAACCAAATATTCACAGCATCAGCGGGGTGACCGCAGTCTGGCTGCAGGTGGGTGGGTTCCGCTGCACTGTGGGGCAGGCCACGGTGGGCCAGAGGAGCAGGGGCCAAGGTGGCTGCTGGGCTTCCGTCCACCTTGGTTTCTCGGTGCTTCTTCACCCTGGCCTGGCCAAGCCTTCGGGGTGTCCAGTGCTGCGGTTCCGAGGCCCACCCCCTCGCGCGGCTCGGAGGGAGACAGGTGGGCAAGTGCAGTGTGCACGTGGGCTGAAGGGAGAGTGGGGTCCACTGGGGGTCTGTCCTCCAGGTGCGAGCGGCTGCCTCCATCATGGCCTTCCATCTATGTCTGCTTCCCTGACCGGAAAGAGAACCTGGTAGAGAGACAGAGGGCTCAGCAAACAGTGAGGCAAGGGGTGCGGAAACCCTGGCAAAACTGTGAGCGGCTCTTGGGTTCCCTGTGGCATCGGCTCCTTTAGGGCCTTGCCGCCTTCACTCGCCAGAGACGGGGAGCAGAACTGGTGGAACTTGCCGGCACAACTTGCCGCCTGCACTTCCTCATGAGACTGATGTGGAAAACAGTCCTATGTGCTTCGGTGAAGGGCCGGGGGCCACACCCAGACCCTGGACCAGAGCCTGCGTGACCACCGGCTATGCCCACAGAGGGAGCGCGACGACTCCTCCTCCTTTTTTTTTTTTTTAATTTCAGGAGGTTTTATTGTAGGGGAGGAGATGGTTTCTCGCTGTTACCTACAGGTCTTCGCTGTGAATAAAACAGACATCTGCAATGAGCAAAGATAAACGCAGAGTTCTTAGGTGAAGGCCAGGCCCTGAGGTGGGAACACCGCACTTCCGGTGTCTACCCACTCAGAGGCAGAGTTCTGAAAAGGAAGAAAGATGTCCTGGGGGTCACCAAGCACAACCGCGGTGCTGTTTCCAGTTATGAGAAAGACGCAAAGACTGGAGGCCAGGAAGTGAGCTGGGATCCGGCTCTTGAGAGAAACCCTTGGGCAGTGCTGGCATCTGCCCCAGTCAAGGGCTGGGGGAGCCCGTGACTACCATTAGGACACAAGCTATGACTCAGCCATCCTGCCCCCTGGACCTGGCTGCCCCCCGCCCCCCGCCCCCTCCTGCCCAGTCATCAAGCCAGGAACCTGGTAGCTGTTCTCACCCACCCCCACCTGCTCTCTTGTAGTCATGATGCCCCAAACACGCTCCTGGTCACCTCTTCTCATCTCCATGGCCACTCCCCCCCCACCAACCCTGTGCAAGCTTCCAAGATGGGCTCAGCAGCCTCCTTGTCACCCACTCACACAGAGGCCAGGATGACCATGTCACTCTGTGGAGCCGAGCAAGTCATTGCTCAGTTTAAATCCTTTCGGGGCTGCCCATTTCCTCAGGATAAAGATGAAATCCTTGGGCCTCCCTGGTGGCACAGGGGTTAAGCCTCAGCACTATCAGAGTCACCAGCCACTGTAGCCTGAGTTCAATCCCCAGTCACGGAGCTGACCCACATGAGCAGCAGACCTCTCCTGTCTCCCCGCTGCTCCCCTCAGTTCTTAGATCCACCAGTTCTGCTCCCCAATGTCTCTGGCGAATCCTCTCATTCCCCCGTACAATACACCCCATTCTTGTATGCATAAATAAATAAAATAAATCTTAAAAAAAGAGAGATGAATCACCTACTTCCCGGAAAGGCGTTCATCCATGGCAGCTGTTCTGTCAGGCTGCCCGACACGGGAGTGGCCCCACGCGGTGCTCAGTTTGTGCACAGACTCTATCAGGAGCAAACGCCAAAGCAGTGACCCAAAGAACTCCCTCAGAAAGAAACCAGTAGTGGATACCTTCTGGAAGCTTCCTTACAGTGGGATACTCAACCAGTGGAAGCCCTCCACAACCAGACGGGGCACCTGGATGCTCTTTCACTCACCCTCTTACCTTCCTTGGGAAAAACACCCTTTGGCCCCACTTCCATGCTGGCCCCCAAACCTCCTCCCTTCCCTCCCTTTCTCCATAATGCAGCCATTATGTTTGTACACGTGGTCATGTCACTCCATGGCCTAATCCCTCACAGCGGCTGGATGATCCCCCCACCTACCCCCCTTACTCTCTTTGCTGCTCCAGCCACATGGCCTCTGCTCTACAGGTGCCTCGCCTCAGGCGCTCCACCCGCTGTGCCCCTGCCAGCAGTGCTCTTCCCGTAGGCCTTTGACATCTTTCAGGTCTCAGCTTCAGTGTCACCTTCTCACAAAGCCTTCCAGGAATCCTCAAATATAAAGTAACCCCAACCGACCTCCCTCTCAGCACCCTGCTTGCAACCTTCACAGGGTGTGAGGTCCTGGCAATGTGACCTTGTCCTGGGAACAGGTTTCCTCACCAGCTCACTCTGGCCCCCACTGAAATGCAGCCCCCGAGTGGAGGGGCTTGTTCACAGCGCCTAACACCACCTCTGGCCCGGAGTGGCCCTCCGTAAACATCTGCTGAAGGCAGGAATGGGTCTGGCTCCAGGTGGTCTCATCTGACCTGTGGGCTTCCCTGCCCTGGGTGACCACCTTAGACTCACCCACCCACGGGGGTTTGCACCCACAGAGCCAGCTCCTCCCCACTCTTGCCTGCTCTCGCCTGCTCTGTGGAGTGGGTAGGCTGACCTCTGTGGATGGCAGCCACAGGCTCCCTAGGAGGGAGCAGCAGGAGTTGGGAAGGCGAAGGGGAAAGAAGTGAAGTCTGTTCCTGCAGGCCATGTGTTACTAGTTGCTGCGTTTCTCGTCAAAAGACCACGCTCCAGGGCCTCCCTGGTGGTGCAAGGGGTTAAGACGCAACCTATGAAGCTGTCCACAGCCTCTGCAGCACAAGTTCTATCCCCAGCCAGGAAGCCACATGGCGCAGCAAACCTCTCCTGTTTCACCCGCTGCTCCCCTCAGCAGTGTGTTTCAGTCAGTCTGCCTGTTCTGTTCCCCGCTCTGTCTCTGGTGAGTCCTCTCACCCTCCCGTGCATCTGGCCTGTACTCCAGTTCTTGCATAAATAAAAAAATAAATAAACAAATAAATAAATAAATGTTTAAAAAAAAAAAGTGAAGTGAATCCTGTCACATGCTACCTGCATGAACCTGGGCAACAGAGGACAGCGCAGTGGGAGGCGCTGATGCTGACAGCAGGCACCTGGGAGAGTTAAATCCAAAGACTGGAAGTAGAAGGGGGTGGGGGTGGGGGCGTGGCAATGGGAGAACAGAAGAGTCCCAGAGAGGACAGCGGTTGCACACAAGTGTGAGTGTGCTGAAGGCCACTGAGCGTGCACTTAAAATGGCGAAAAGGGTAGGTTTTAATATTACGTATGTTACCACGAGTTTTTTTTTTAAACTAAAACAAAAAATTTAGTAGAATTCAGTTCTCAAAGCCTACAGGATCTCAGTGTGGAGCAGCTACAGCTGTGTAGCCCAGCGTGCCGCAGCACTTGCGACCCGGTTATTCCTCACTGGAATGTGCTGGAAGTGTAACCTGTATACCAGTTTTCAGGGCTTGCTGTGAGAAATAGGAGGTAAAATATCCCAGTAATGTTTGATAGTGATCACATGTTGGAACGGTTACATTTTGGATAGGTTATGTTGGGCTACTGAAATATATTTTCAGGGCCTTCCTGGTGGCCTAGGGGTTGAGTCTCAGCACTATCACCACTACAGCCTGGATTTGATCCCCAGCTAGGGAGCTGACCCACAGGGCACAGCAGACCTCTCCTGTCTCCCTGCTGCTCCCCTCAGCAGTGGATTTCAGTAGATCTGCCTGTTCAGCTCCCCACTCTGTCTCTGGTGAAGCCTGTCACCCTCTGCACCTCTGTCTTACACCCCAGTTCTTCTATACATAAATAAATCTTCACTATATATATTTTTAAAAGAAAAAAAATATGAACACCTCATAAAAAAAGGGAAAAACTGCTTAGTGGGAGATTAGAAACAAATCACATCAGGAAATAAAAGGATTTGTTAAACAAAATACCACTTATATATTGAAAATACAACCACACCAGTCAATACACATTTTTTTTTTTTTTTTGCATAGAAGAACTGGGGAGCAGGCGAGAGGTACGGGGAGTGAGAGGATTCACCAAAGACAGTGGGAAAAGTGGGAAGTGGAATAGGCAGATCCACTGAAATACACTGCCGAGGGGAGCAGCGGGAGACAGGTGAGGTCTGCTGCGCCCTGTGGGTCACTCCCTGACTGCGGATCAAACTCAGGCAGCAGCAGTGATAGCCTGAGGCTTAACCCCTAGGCCACCAGGGAGGGCCAATATACACTTTTTTTTTTAAGATTTATTTATTTATGCATACAAGAGGTGGGGTACAGGCCAGAGGTGTGGGGAGGGGGGGAGAGGACTCACCAGAGACAGAGCAGGGAACAGAACAGGCAGACTGACTGAAATACACTGCTGAGGGGAGCAGCGGGCGAGACAGGAGAGGTCTGCCGCGCCATGTGGGTTGCTCCCTGGCCGGCTGGGGATAGAAGTCGTGCTGCAGAGGCTGCGGACAGCTTCATAGTGCGGTGCTTAGTCCCTTGCGCCACCAGGCAGGGCCAATATACACTTCTGAGACTCACTGAATATCAGAACGGCGGGGCAGGGTGGGGGCGCAGGGAGGTGTAGAGTGGAAATGCGTGATGGGGAGAGAAAGGGAACAAACGCCAGCGGAGAGGAGTCCTGTGTTAACAAGGAGGACTGGGAGCCATGTGCTGAGAATCACGAACTCAAACCTCCCTTCCTGACATTCAAAAAGAAATGAAGAAAAAATTGTCTCCCCTCTTAAACCTGCCCTGGAAGGTGCCTCAGAATCTCAGACCCCTGACGATGCCTCCTGCAAAGGGAGACAACAGGATTCGGGGCTCATGCAACAGGTCACCGTTGCGTCCCCAGTGCCCAGCACAACGCCTGGCACACAGTGTGGACTCAGTGCGGGTTTGTTGACTAATGACCGAAGGAAAGGGAGAAAATGAAGGGCACCGCAGCAGTCTGCCAGTCAGAGAAGAGCCAGAGCAGAGAAGGCGGCTGGTGGCCGAGGCTGGGGGAGGGGTGGGAGGGGTGGGGGTCACTCGGATCGCCTGCGCTTCATTTTTCTGATGAAACTACTGGCCAGCGCTTGGAAATATGATTCCATGAACAAATCTGGCCTCTTGACTTCTCTAAGAATCAGCTCTGGCAGCATGTTCTCCCTTGGCCACAGGGACCCTCACTCCCCGGCCCCCACATCACTCACCCACATCAAGTGCCTGGCGCCCACAGACCTTCCGGATGCCCGACAGGGCTTCTCGCTTCCTTCCAGAGCCCCAGAGAAGGGAAACTGTCAAGTGTCATGGGTCAGGGCCACTGGCAGGCAGGCAGACTGCTATAGCGGGGGACGGGGGAAAGGCGCAGCCTGGGGACTGACATCCACAGACCAAGAAGGCACCTCTCAAAGCGCACTCCAGGGCGTCCCCCATCAGAACTGCCCGGGCAGCTCATTAATAATCCAGATGCCAGACTGCACAGAACCAGATCTGATTTCAGAAAGTGTGAATTTTTGAACGCGTACCCCACCCTCTATGATTTGAGGCTCAGTAGCCACAGAAATGAAGCACTAACAGTGGTGTGAAACATGCAGGCAGCAGTCAAGGGCAACCACATCATGTGCCCCAGTGTGGGGAGAAACAGGGCCCCCCAAAGTGGCCCGTAAGTGAGGTGATGAGTCAATCCCCTGAAGCTCGGTGATTACTACTACTGTGCCTTCCTGGTCGCTGTGGCATTATTACGTCATGGGGAAGCAGTGGAGCACAGAATCTGGACTTTCTGGGTTTCAAGGCACTGCTTCCTATTGTGTGACCTTGGGCCAATGTGCCTTGGTGTTGATTTCTCCCCCTGTAAATGGGGATAATGACGATTCCCGGAGTAGCGGTGATGAGTCGCCGGGTTACCGTGGCGGGAGTCTGGCAGGGACTAAATTCCACCAGCACGGAGTTTTCACAGCAGCTGCAGCAGCACCGGGCGGAACGGGGCCTCTCGGGCCCGGGTATCTGCCAGCCCCCTCTCAACCCCGACTTTAGCAATGACTTAGCAGCAACAGGGGCAGCGAGGGACTTACAGCTTCCTGATGATGGTTTTCTCCTCCTTGTTAGCGCTGGCATTGCCAGGACTGGCAACCAGATCCTTCTCTCTTCTTCCTCCTTCTGGGCATTCTCTTGGCGGAATCAGACCACTGGGGAAATGGGGGTAAATAAGTGCGTTGTTTCATTGAAGACCTCCTACTGTGCAGCGCTGACAGTGAAGGATCTTCACAGTTATTATTATATTAATGGCAACACTGAAAGTGCTAGAGTTAGTGAGATTCTGCCTCAGATGAGAATCCTCCTTCTAGGTTAATACCTGATTTCTTTCCTCTTGTTTAACCGCACTGGCTAGTACTTCAAGCTTCTCTGCCTTCCAGGGGTGGGACAATGTGTAAGTTCTCTAACTGACGTCTTGATTTCCTTGACAGTAGAATAAGGATAACAAAAGCACCTCCCTCCGAGGACTGAGGGATTTAGATAAAACACGGCACCTGACATTCTTCCACTCAGGCATTCTACAGGTATTTAATAAGCCCCACACCAAGCCAGGGTAGGGCAGATAGAGCAGTGAACAAAACAAACAAAATGCCTTCTTTCATGAAATTTGTATTTCTACGGGGGACAAAACAATAAATAAGTAAGTAAAAGTTAGGGGCCTCCCTGGTGGCCTAGTTTGACACTATCACCTCTATGGCCTGAGTTGGATGGGGCCAGCCCAGACCTGCCCGGAGGACGCAGACTCCACCTCTGGGGAAGCGGAGTGGGAAAAGCTCGCAGAACGGGGGTACGGTCATGCCACCTCTGGAACAGCCCACCGCACTGCCGCTAAGTCAAGCTGTCGTCCATACGAACTTGGGCCGCCAAAGGGACGCAGTGGCTGAGAGAATGCCTCGGCGCGCCTGCTGGCTTCTCCAGAACAGAGCGAGAGTCTGAACAGAATCCTGCCACGCCGGGTGGGAAGTGCGCACCTGCTGTCTCAGGAATTCAAATCCTGAAATCAAGTGTGTCGTTGCATTTCCCACCAAGCTGCCCACGGCCTCAGCAGTGCTTCTAACTACCTGTGTCTGAAGTCCTCATTCAGCGAGAGGGAGGTCTCCCACATACACGACCCGACCTCAGCACAAGGAAGACTATTAAGTCTCTGCCGCGGGACTCAGCCTTTTCGGGTCTAGCTTCCTGGACTAGCTTGACTTTACTGCGGCTGCTCCCTTCATGGACCTACAAGGCAAGAATCTAAAGAACAGACTCACTTAGGCCTTGTTTGGTTTAGCTTCCTACGAAGGCGTGTCCTTCCTTCCACCCTCTCGGCGGTGAAATGTGCTATCATTAAAAGCGCAGGCTCTGAGGCCCACTGTCTGAGGCGACGTCTCACTGTTAACACCCCCGGCTGTGGGGCTTCCTGGCGGATACCTGACCCCTCTGAGCTTTAGATATTCTTGGGGGTGGCATTACCTAACTCAGGGGCTCACTCTGAGCACCAACTGCAACGACTTTGGGATACACCTAGACAGCACATGGTAAGCCTGGATGAAAATTAGCAGGCCCTGTGTTTTCACTCTTACCTCCTCTTGCTTCTGAGGAAACCTGCTTTGTTTAACTGAGTGTTGCCCAAATGATTGGATGACAGAGCCTCTGTTTTAAGATACATCTATGTGAAAGAAAACTTTTTGGGAAACAGTGGTGCGTGTGGACTCAGCAAAGGTCACATTTGCTACAGCAACTGCTGCTTGCTTCCCTCTCCAGCTGGCCCTATAATCCCTTTCCTGTGCATATCATTGTGTTTAACTTTTTAGTTTTTAATAATATCAAACGTAAACACAAAGACTTCCATTTATCCAGTTCTCCTGATTGTTTATCTACACCTCTGCCTGCCTCTACCCTGCCCACACATCCATCGGCCCGGGAGTGCCCACCACTACCCTGTGTATCCGCTGGCCTGTCTTCCCTGCTGGCCTGTCTTCCCCGCTGCCCAGAGTGGACTTTTTCTGTTTTGTCCACTGCTGTACCCCCGTTCCAGGAATAGCGTCTGGCACGCAGCAGGCCTTCAGTAAGCTGGGTGAATGAACATAAGGACCGAGATGCACCATATCAAGAGTCTCTGCCAGCAGGGTCTGGCTCCGCTTTGCAGGAGCCCCCCAAGGCAGCTGAGCCCCACCTCTTGTAACACTGAAGCTCTTCCTGCACCACCAGCAACTGGGACTTGAGTTTGTTGCGCTCCTGCAGCACGTCCCTCAGCTCCTGCAGAGTGAAGCGTGGCCGGTTGGGGTCTGTCAGGTCAACCACCATTTTGTCTGGTCCCAAGCTCTCCTGGAAGAAATGATGTCCCCCGTATAGTTTCCCTCCTGAGGAAGGGCTGTCCACCCCAGAAAGGAAAGCGCTGTTTCTTTACTCCCAGGGATCCTATGAGATGAGATATTGCCTGCTGGGCGTTTCTGGTGGTAGAGAAGCAACACCCCGAGCACTGTTCTCCAAGAGTAGAATCAGGGCTCCTTGGAAATGGCTGACCCCAGGGCTGGGGCAGGGGAAATACAAGGTGAGCCTGGAACTTCTTTCTGGGAAGGGGTGGAGACGTCGCAAAATGCACAGTAGCAAGGGGCGCCTCCTGGTCAACCGAGAACAATTTGAGTATTAAAATGGGTAACAGGAAGCCATGCCTAAACGGTCAACACTAAAATTAATTAATGAACGGAAACATGATGGTTAATTCTATGTGTCCGTTGGGCTAAGGACGCCGAGAGAGCTGGTGAAACACTGTGTTGGGGTGAGTCTGTAAAGGTGTTTCTGGACAAGATCAGTGTCTAAATTGGTGAACTGAGTAAAAAGCCCAACGTGGGTGGGCTTCATGCAATCCACGGAGACAAACCAGAACAAGGCAGAGGAAGGGGGAATCTGTCTTCTGCGTAAGTGGAGTCCTCTCCCTTCTACTGGGACATCAGCCCTCCTGGTTCTCGGACTTCAGGATCTGCCCAGGACTTACACCACCGGCCCCCTGATTCTCAGGCCTTCTGACTCAGACTACATTACACCACTGGCTCTCCAGCCTGCGGACAGAAGACGGTGGACTCCTCAGCCCCGTTAGTGCATGAGCCAACTCCTAGAATAAAAATCCTCTTATATCTATATCTCCTATTGGTTCGTTTTCTCTGAAGAACTCTGGCGGGTTCAGGGGATGAGAAGGAGCTTCCACTCTTTACAACAGAATGCCAATTAATTGTGGAGGATGACAAAGTTGAAGAATCATCCAGTTAGTACTAACTGGTTCAGGCAAAAGGAATGAATGACTGGACCTATAACCTTTGGGTGAAAGCCTGATGGGGAACAGGGTGTTTTCACGCAGGCTACTTGCAAAGGGGACAGAGGCACCTTTACAGGTTATAATACAGTTCCCTTAAGACACCCTGCAGTCATTGCCTTAGCCAAGGGATCCAGGTTAACCTCACCAATAATGACAAGCTGAATCAGGTGCCTCCTGACAGCAAGCACCGAGGAGGACACAGCACAGTTCAGTGGTATTCCCGTCAAACACGTATAGCTTGTGTCTAATCATGAGGAAACATGAGAACGAATCCAAACAGAAGGACAAACAGCCCACTGATGGGTAATCTTCAAAAGCTCCAAGGTTATGAAAGACAAGGAAGTGCTTGTTCCAGATTAAAGTGTGGCCAGAACAATGCGTTAACTAAAGTCCTGCTGGCCCTGGATTGGCTCCTGTATCAGAAACAAAAAATGCTACAAATGGCATTATTGTAAATTTCGAATCAGGATGGAATATTAGGTCACAGTATCCTATGAAGCTTCCCCTTGAAGTGATCACTTATGGTGTAACAGTATGTCTTCAGAGAAAACACTCAAGTAGGAAGGGCACAGGACCCTACTCTTTCACCAACCTTGCAACCAACAATGCCTGCTCAAATAGTTGAGTAAAGTAAGTGAATACACATACATGTGTGTGTAATACATACATGTGCACAGATATATGCACATTTCTGTGTCTATTTCCTAAGATAAACCGCACAGGCACACACACCTGAACTGGTGAAAGGCAGAAAGGGTTACAGGTGTTCACTGTACTTACCTTGTAACTCTTTCGTAGGTTTGAAACTGTTTCAAACCAAAGTTAAAGGAAACGCTTGAAAACAACCTAGATTTCATTAACAGAAGTCTAGTTAAATCTAGGCTCAGGATAGGGAGAATGTAATAGTGACCAGGCACTTCCTCTCCGAATTGTAACTTTCCACAGCCAGCTTGAGGGTGAGGGCTGTGGGGAAAAGGGCACTTTCACTGATGCTGAGGGAGTGGGCTGCCTTAACCTCCCTGGAGTGCAATTTGGCAATTCTTATCAGCATTTCAAAGTGCCTTTCCTTTCACCCAGAGCCCATTCTTCTAGACTCTCCCTGGGGCCACATGTCAAATGTCAGGATTACTCACTGCAACAGGGGCTAAGCTTACATGATTGGAAAACAAACGTCTTTTGAGAGGAGTCTGGCTGAGCAGAGTCTTAGCTCCGTTTTGGGGGCCATGCACCCTCTTGGCAGCCTGGTAGAGCCCACATGGGTTCCTTCTCAGAACAGTGATTTTTAATGAAAAAGGGCAGAGGACTACAAAGGAACCAACTACGATGACACACGCTCATCCAAATCGTCTAAGACATGTTTATGATTAATCTGCCTGCTTTTCCTTTATTAAGTAAGATGATCGAGCCACAGGTGGAGTAAAACACTAAACAAAAACAAAGTTGTGAGATGCGTACTGCATGGTGATGAGCTACAAACTACCTGTGGTTTCCACCGGTGACTCTCGAGACACAGCTCATTACGCTGCGGTTGGTTGCCAGTGTTCATCAATGAAGAAGGTTATAATACAGTTCACTTGGAGTTTGGTGAAAATAAAAATATTCACAGACCTCTTGGGGCGGGAGGGGGCAGTACGAGGGGCTCATAAATTCCAAGTTTAGAAGTCCCAGCTTGGACAATTGATAATATTGCACAACACAAGTTTTCATAAGACATTAAAAGATGAGGAGCCTCTTTATAGTCTAATTTGGTACAACTTTCATAATATAGTAAGAAAACTAGGAAAGGGTATATATGATTAATACCATTTGAATGAAAAATGGAAACATGCTTCTGTCAGCTTGTGTTGGCATAAAGTGTCTCTGGAAGGATACATAAGAAACTGATCATTTAAATTTTTTCCAGAGGGTCTCCCTGGTGGCACAAGGGGTTAATTCTCAGCACTACGAAGCAACCCGCAGCCACTGCAAAACGCTTCCTTTAACTCTAGTTTGAAAAAGTTTCAAACCTACATGTGGCTGTTAGTACAGTCACGGGGCGCAGCAGCCCTCTCCTGTCTCCCCGCTGCTCCCCTCAGCAGTGTGTTTCAGTAGACCTGCCTGTTCTGCTCCCCACTCTGCCTCTGGTGAATCCTCTCAACCCCCCTACCTCCGGCCTACACCCCAGCTCTTGATAAATAAGCAAATCTTTAAAAACAATTTTTTTTTTTTTTCCCAGAGAGGGGAAGTGGGTGACTGGGGTAGGAAGAAATAGGGAGGGAGATTTTTCAAAGCAAACACTTTTGTACTTGTTGAATTTGGAACTTGAAATTTTCAAAAAGAAAGAAGCCATCCTATCTATTAGGCAACAGTAAACAAACAAACAAAACAGAAAATGAAAAATGTGAGTGAAGATGTGGGAAAATGGGAACCCCTGGTGTCCTGCTGGCGGGGATGTGGACCGGGGCAGTCGCTTCGGGAAATCTCATGGCAAAACCTTAAAAATTAACAACAGAATGAGGGTATCCAGCAGGTCCACTTCTGGGTGCCCGACTCCCGCAAGGGCTGCAAGCGGCCCCGCAGAGGCACTTCACCGGCGCTCACAGCAGCAGCCTCCACAGGGGCCAAGCGCAGAAGGCGCCGGGGCGAGCCGGGCCTGGCCCCCTCCAGGCGGTGCACGAGCGAGCGCCGTGGAGCAGTAGTCAGCCTTGAAAAGGAAGGAAATTCAGTTTCATGCCTCGACACGGCTGCACCTTGCAGACGTCGCGTTCAATGAAAGAAGCCAGCGACTAAAGGGGAAACATGATCCTGCGCTACTTTTGTGAAGGCCGTACAACAGGCGAACGCGCAGAGCTAGTGAGCAGAGCAGCAGTTCCCAGAGTCCGCAGGGGAAGGAGACGCCCCGCTGGTGTTTAGTGGACACAATCTCAGTTTTTCAAGGGGAAAGAGTTCTGGAGAGGACAGAGATGCTGGCTGAGCCAGGGTGAGTGTACTTCATGCCCCACTGCGTGCCTTCCCCAAGGTTAAGGTGATACATTGTATACGCACTTCACGCAATCATAAATAATAGAGAGGGGCCTCCCCGGTGGCGCAGCGGTTGGGCGCTGGGTTGCGAAGCTGCCCGCAGCCTCTGCAGCGCCGGTTCGATCCCCGGCTGCTCCCCGGCCTCCCAGGAGGGTCCCACATGGCGCCCAGACCTCTCCTGCCGCCCGCCGCTCCCCTCAGCAGTGTCCTTCGGTCCTTCTGCCTGTTCTGCTCCCTGCTCTGGCCCTGGTGGATTCTCTCACCCTCCCGTGCTTCTGACACTACCCAGTGCTTGTACAAATAATAAATAAATAAATCTTCAAAAAAAAAAAATACTAGAGGCCTCCCTGGTGGCAGGGTTAAGATGCAGCACTGTGAAGCTGTCCCAAGCCTCTGCAGCACTCAACCTCTGGCCAGGGAGCTACCAAAGGCGCAGCAGACCTCTCCTGTCTAGTCCACTGCTCCCCTCAGCAGTGTATTTCAGTTAATTCACCTGTTCTGCTCCCCGCTCTGTCTCTGGTGGATCCTCTCACTGCCTACATTTCTGGCCTATAGCCCAATTCTGGTATGCATAAATAAATACATCTTAAAATAATAGAAAAAGAATAAAGCATATTTTTGCAAACTGGCCAGTGGCACTCGGCCTTAGTCTCTCTCTCTGCCCTTTCCCCACCCTGTTTTTTGTTTTTTTTTTTAAGATTTATTTATCTATGCATGCAAGAGCTGGGGTACAGGCCAGAGGTGTGGGGGGTGAGAGGATTCACCAGAGACAGAGTGGGGAGCAGAACAGGCAGACTGACCAAAGTACACCGCTGAGGGGAGCGGCGGGCGAGTCAGGAGAGGTCTGCTGCGCTATGTGGGTTGCTCCCCAGCTGGCCTGGGGATCAAACTCGTGGTACAGAGGCTGTGGACAGCTTCATAGGTTGTGTCTTAATCCCTTGCACCACCAGGGAGGCCCTCCCCACCCTGTTCTTAAGCCCATGGCTTGGGAGGAAAATGTGTCATCTCATCTTTGGTGATGAAACATGTCCACTGCCCTCACACAGGAAATCACCAGCCCCAGTGCAGACCACACTGTTCATGTTGTGGGGGAGCTTCCTCCATGTCCTTGGGCCTGGAGTTGGCTAGGGGGACGGGGATAGGACACTGACGTGGGCGGGGCCATCCTGGGCAACTCACTTCACTGCCCTGGAATGGCAAAAGCCAGGCTACTTATCGGGACAGTCAGCCATCTCATCAAATGGACCGTCAAGAACGCTAGCTACAAATCAGACAGCCACAGGGACCACTGACTGGCTGAAGTAACAGTGCACCAGGGGAGTCACTGGAAATGCCCCTGGGAATGTCTGCCCTGTGAACTTCTTCGCTGAGACTGTCACTGCTGCTTCACCATTACGCTTTCCTGGCACACAGCCCAGTTTGTGATCTTTTTTTTTTTTTTTAAAGATTTATTTTCATTTATTTATTTATTTGTTTATACAAGCACTGGGTACAGTCAGAAGCGCAGGAGGGTGAGAGAATTCACCAGAGCCAGAGCGGGGAGCAGAGCAGGCAGAAGGACCGAAGGACACTGCTGAGGGGAGCAGCGGGCGGCAGGAGAGGTCTGCGCGCCATGTGGGACCCTCCTCTGGTGGCCAGGGAGCAGCCGGGGATTGAACCGGCACTGCAGAGGCTGCGGGCAGCTTTGCAACCCAGCGCTCAACCGCTGCGCCACCGGGGAGGCCCCCCCAGTTTGTGATCTTACACACAAATTCTGGGGGTGTGGGCACTTGACCCTTCCCACTAGATGTGAAGGGGCCTTCCCTAATTTGCCTCCATAGTTCCAGAGTCCAGCACAGTGTAGTCACTCATCAACTGTTAGTACAGCAGAGAAGCTCAGACGCCTGCATTTTAATATGGAGGCTCTGGGTCCCTCCCTGGTGGCACTAGGGGTTAAGTCTCAGCACTATGAAGCTATCGCCAGCCACTGCAGCACAAGTTCGATCCTTGGCCAGGGAGCTGATCCACACGGCGCAGCAGACCTCTCCTGTCTCGCCTGCTGCTTCCCTCAATAGTGGATTTCAGTCGATCTGGCTGTTCTGCTCCCCACTCTGTCTCTGGTGAATCCTCTTACCTCCCTGTACCCCTCACCTATGCCCTAGTTCTTGTATGCATAAAATAAATAAATCTTAAAAAAAAAAAATATGGCAGCTCTGGGTTCAAATTCCAACTCTACCTCTTACTTGCTCTAAGTCCTCAGGCAAATTAACTAATTGTGCTACGCCTCCATTTCTGTAAAATGGGTATGTTAATAATGTATTAGATGATAGTCCCCATAGAAGACCTTTTTTCCTAACTGCACTAGAGATGTACTACTGAATTGCACAGTTTAGAGTTGCACAAGAATTTAAAAACTCACAAAAATACAGATTAGGAAAGGATAGCTATGCATCATGTTCGTAAGGGTGGGTTAGGGCACTGTTACTTCAAACTTTTGTTTCACCAATATGTTATTTTGGAAAACATAATTTTGTAAAATTGGATGCGTAACATATTGTAAGATGCACTCATCTTGAATTTATGGCTTGATGATTTTTAACACCTGTAAACACCCATGTTAAAATTTGGAATATTTCTAACTCCCTGTAAATTTTCCTCTTGCTCCCGATCACTCTACCTTCAGGTTGATGATTAGTAAGAGTAACTTGCTTGCTCTTGAATTTCATATAGACAGTAGGCTCGCTTTTGTACCTGGCTTCTTTCTCTCTCTCTCTTTTTTTTTTTACGATTTATTTATTTATTTATTTATTTATTTATTTATTTATTTATTTATTTATTTATTCAAGCACTGGGTACAGTCAGAGGCGCAGGAGGGTGAGAGAATTCACCAGAGCCAGAGCGGGGAGCAGAGCAGGCAGAAGGACCGAAGGACACTGCTGAGGGGAGCAGCGGGCGGCAGGAGAGGTCCGCGCGCCATGCGGGACCCTCCGGATCGAGGCGGCGCTGCAGAGGCCGCGGGCAGCTTCGCAACCCAGCGCTCAACCGCTGCACCCCCAGAGAGGCCCTGGCTTCTTTCTCTCAATGCAACATCTATGAGATTCATCCACACACACATATACATATATATGCACATTTTTCATTGTTGTGTAGTATCCCGGTACAGGGATATGCCACAATTGAAAAATCCATTCCACTGTTGCATTCGGGTTGTTTCCAGGTTGGCACAATTATGAATAAACCAGCTACAAAAACGGTTGTAGGATTGCGTGTGCGTGTGTGTGTGTGTGTGTGTGTGTGTGTGTGTGTGTGTGGTCATAAGCACTCATTTTTCTTTACTTAAAAGATATTTCCTACTCTAGGTCAAAGATTCCCCAACGGTGATGCCTCGTCCATGTCATCAACCTCACCCAGGCACTTGTTAGAAATGCAGATTTTCGGGTCTCGCTTCAGACTTAATTAGAAACTGGGGCTCAAACCCAGCAAGAGGTGTTTTAATGAACACTCCAGGGGAGTCTGGTGCACACTGAGGCTTGCACGCCGCTGCTCTAGGTCATGGTAAAACGTGCTGGCAGCCGGAACAGACTCGGCCCAGGACCAGCTCCTGGTCTGTGCTCACCGCCGGCGGCTCTGGCCTGGGGACAGGGCACCCCTGGCCCGGCGCGGACGAGAGGGGCGTCCTGCGGGCGGGCGCTGCGGCGTCCACCTCCCTCCCGCACTCACCAGCCCGCCGGCCGCCGGGCCCTGCGCCCGCAGCAGCTCCACCTCCTTCCTGAGGTTGTCGCGCTCCAGCCGCAGCTCCTCGGCCGCCAGGCCGCCCTCGCTCACCAGCGCCTCCAGCATCTCCAGGACGCGCACGATCTTGAACTGCAGCTGCGTCACGCGGGGGTCGCTGCCCAGGGCCAGCAGCTCGCGGCCCATGGCGGAGGAGATGTCGTACACGTCCTCGGCGGTCAGCTGCGAGGGGCTCTTGCCCAGCGCGCCCTCCGGCGCGCCCCCGGGCCCCCCCTCCTCCTCCTCCTCCTCCCCTCGCGGAGGGGGCTCCTCCATGGCGCGGGGCCCGGCCGGCGGCGCCTTCCGAGCCTGCGAAAGTGCAACTTCCCCCCGGCGCCAGAACTTTCCGCCGGCGGGAGGGCCCGGGGGCGCCCAACCAGCGCGCCGAGGGCGGGCCGGGGCGGGTCTGGGGGGCGGGCTTGGGGGGCGGGAGGCGCGCCCGGCGGCTCTCGGGCCGGGGCCGGGGTGCGCCCTCCGCTCGGCGCCCGAGCCGGAAAGCGGGCGCCAGGATGCGGGGCGGGGAGCGGAGGGGCCGGGAGCGGGGTTGGGGGTCGGCGCCCGCCGCCCGGGAGCCGCGGCCGTGGAGGGGGGGCGCCCCGGCCCCGCCCCTGGCGACGGCGCCCGCGTTGCCCGGAGACCCGGCGGAGGCGCCCCACGAGGGCGCGCCCCACTCGGCCCGGCCGCCCAGGACTGGCGCGCGGGGGGCGCGCGGGCCGCCCGGGCGTGTCCGAGCCCGCGGCGGGACGGAGAGCGGGGCCGGGGCCGCGGCGCTGGGCCGCGGGGTGCGGGGAAGGCCGCGGGGTGCGCGGGAGGTCACGCCCGGGCCGAGCGCCGAGGAAGCCTCCGCCGTCGCGGGCGTTCATGCCCCTCCCAGCGCCCCCCGGGCTCCTCGCGCCGAGCGGGGTGCAGGAGGAAGAAACCGACAAAAACCACTGCTCTGAAAGTCCGCGGTGTCGGGGGGAACCCAGGCGCGGTGTCGGGGAGACTGTTCGTGGCGTGCACGACTGCCCCACGCGCGCTACTTCAGGGTTGGTGAGAGAGAGAGAGGTCTGTGACAGACGGAGAAAACGGCCACGGGGCCGGTCTGTCCCAGGAATAATTATCCTGGCAACTCCCTTGGTGGCAGATGTACCCGCAGTGAGGCTCTGGGCTCCCGATGGAGAGTGGACGGGAATAAAACAAACCGAAAGCAAAGCAATCAGAACACACACCAGTTTCAAAGGGCACAATGTGCGAATATTCAAAGCCAGGATCCTGGGCGAGGCTGCGGTGCTCCAACACCCTTAGACACAACAGAGAGATGAAGGAAAAACCAGCAAAATGTTGTCTATCCACATGATGGAGTATTACTTGCCCATAAATTGCAATGAAGGCCTAAAACAGAGAGCCCTAAAGGCCTAAAACAGTGTCATCAAAAGGAAGACACCCACTTGGCGTGGCAGACCTCTTCTGTCTCACCCGCTGCTCCCCTCAGCAGTGTTTTCGGTCATCTGCCTGTTCTGCGCCCCGCTCTATCTCTGGTGAATTCTCACCCTCCCGCATCTCTGTCCTGCACCCCACTGCTTATATAAATAGATACATCTTTATTTACTTATATATTTATATATATAATATAGATCTTTATTTACTTATACAAGCATCTCCCTGGCCAGCCAGGAATCGAACCGGCACTGCAGAGGCTTTGGACAGCTTCACAGCACTGTGTTCAACCCGCTGCGCCACCAGGGAGGCCCTAAATATATCTTTACAAAAAAATGCCAACAATTCTTCTATTGAGTAGCGATGCTTTTGATATGTACGTATTTAATATTTTCATATATTTACATGTAAATATATAATACAATGAAGAATCTTTTTTTTTATTATTTATGCATACAAGAGCTGGGGTACAGGCCAGAGTTGTGGGGGGCGGGGCGGGCGCAAAAGGATTCACCAGAGACAGAGTGGGGAACAGAACAGGCAGATGGACTGAAGTACACTGCTGAGGGGAGCAGCGGGCTAGACAGGAGAGGTCTGCCGTGCCATGTTGGTATCTCCATGGCCAGTGGGGGATTGAACCCACACTGCAGAGGCTGCGGACAGCTTCACAATGCTTGCCCAACCGCCTGCGCCACCAGGGAGGCCCGAAACAATAAAGAATCTTTTCTTCATCTGCTTATCGAGCATTAATATGTGCAAAATCCGTAACGTCACACAGTCAACCGGGCTGCAATGGAGTTAAGTGCTCTTTGACTTGAAACTCACAATTGCTCCCTAATGGTACCGATTTGATCAGGTCCTCCAGTCTCCCCAGATCCCCACCTCTTCTTTGAAAACTGGGAAAAATAAAAGCAGTTACCAAGACTCGAGTGAGGATTTGAGGCAATAGTGCAGGAACAGCATCTAGCACATTAAAAGCATCAAAGGATGTTGGCTATTATCATAAAGTGCTGACGGTTTTAACTGTGAGATCCCTCACACACTTCACAGTCTGTGGACAGAGGCAGTCATGGCTCTTCCCAGTCTGCTGAGAAATTCTGAAAACATGCATTACAGCACAGGTTCTTGGGTGTGCTGCCCACGCCACCTCAGTATCTGGAAATAGTTTAGAAATGCAAAATCTTGACCCATTGAACCAGAAACTTTGGGGGTGGACCCCAACGATCTGTATCTTAACAAGCCCTCCAGGAAATTCTGACTCACATTCAAGTTTGAAAAACAGTAACAGCAGTGTTCAAAAGAATGAGGCCTCAAGCCAGATCACACTTGTTCCTATCTTGACCAGCTTTGTCACTTGTCAGCAGCTGCGATGTCCAGCAAGTAAATGACCTCTTAGTCAGGGACTTGGTTTTCCCAGCTGTATAATGGGGCTAAAAACAGGATCTAATTCATAAGATTGTTGTGAAGCGCTTTAGAACAGTGTCTGCACAAGTGCTCAATTGATGTCAGCTATTGTTCTTATTTATTGTTAATATAATAAACTACTTTTATTGCCAAAATATGAAGTATAAGAAATACTTTCCCCAAGTTCATATAATTATTTGGAATATAAAGGTGGACCAGTAATACACATAGGATATGTCTACAACGCTTTTTTTTTTTTTTAAAGATTTATTTTATTTATTTATTTATTTATTTATACATACAAGCACTGGGTACAGTCAGAAGTGCGGGAGGGTGAGAGAATTCACCAGAGCCAGAGAGGGGAGCAGAGCAGGCAGAGGGACCGAGGTACACTGCTGAGAGGAGCAGTGGGCAGGAGAGGTCTGCGCGCCATGTGGGACCCTCCTCCAGTGGCCGGGGAGCAGCCGGGGATCGAACTGGCGCTGCAGAGGCTGCGGGCAGCTTTGCAACCCAGCGCTCAACCGCTGAGCCACCGGGGAGGCCCTACAACGCTTTTTTTTTTAAAGATTTATTTATTTATGCCTACAAGAACTGGGGTACAGGCCAGATGCGGGGGAGGGGGAGAGGATTCACCAGAGACAGAGCGGGGAACAGAACAGGCAGACTGACTGAAACACACTGCTGAGGGGACCAGCAGGAGAGACAGAAGTCTGCCACACCATGTGGGATTCTTGCTGGCTGGTGGGGATTGAACCCGCGCTACAGAGGCTGCGGGCAGCTTCATAGTGCTGTGCTCAACCGCCTGCGCCACCGGGGAGGCCCTGTCTACAACGCTTTTTAAACAAAATCCCAACAACGTCATTGTACGAAGATTTAAAATTTTGAAAAACATACTTCCCCTGAGATTTAATACAGGCAGGCTGCAGTATGCAGCAGGGCCCTCCCCCACCCCCAAAAGGGGGCACAAATTAAGGTGCCTTACTCCTCGCTAAGCAAAGGGAAAAACGAAATGGGAAACAAAAGTAGGTGGGTCATGCTTCATGAAAATGGAACTGTAAATGCTTGGGGGCTATTATCTACCCACAGGAAAGTTCCACTAGCAACTATCTGGTGGGCCTATTTTGGTACATTAAACAGAACAGGGCTTACCCTTTTCTGAATATCTGTGGCAACACTGACTTCCCCTCCTGCTCTTGAAATTATCTTCAGGTCTTGTTGTCCTTCAGCCATGCACGGAAATCGCAAGGGTTTTAGAGATTTCCCAGTTTGGCATAAATGTCTGCCATCCTGGATGGGTGACTTCATCTCTAAAAGTTGAAGTTCTTTGGAAAAGAAATGGGTTGCAGGAAGGGCAGTGCCCAAAGTACTTGTTTTGAGTCTGTTTTTAACTCAGGTCGGAGGTTTATTCAGGGTGGAGAGAGAGGGTGGCATTAAAAGAGATTATGGCAAAGGGACTGACATCCTCCACCCGCCCCCGCCCCACTCCATCCAGGCGGCTCTTGCTCTGCCGCGGAATGTGACCACACACTCCTTGTGCAGTTGTTGAGAGGGAAATGAGTTTAGTCCAGGACCCACAGGGAATGCTGAATGTTTGCTTTAAGATTCTATCGGTATGAAAATCAACAAAAAACTATGAACCAGAGACACTTTTTGGGGGGTGGGGGATGGGAGGGGAGGGATTGGGGTCGGAATGGGGGGATTGCAATTGTATGGGGAATATCAAAATAAAATTTATTATTTAAAAAATAATAAATAAATAAATAAATTATATTATTATATTAAAAAAAAAGATTCTATCGGTATGAAACCTCGGCAGCAATCTCCAGCAGGATAGCTCATTACACCTTCCAGATATGCTTGGTGGGTACAGTATTTTGTCATTAATTTTTAGTTAGATAGCTGTGGCAGCCAGAGCTGCCTTTCAAATGACCCCTCAGGCAGCCAATGACATCACGATTAGAGAAAGACAAATCAAACCCACAGGGAGATATGTCCTGGCATCCATTCGGCTGGCTATTAGGAAAGCAAATATAAAACCAAAAATAAGTGTTTACCAGGATGTGGAGAAATTGGAACCCGTGCATTGTTGGTGGGAATGTAAAATGGTGCTGCTGTCATAGAGAACAGCATGGCAGTTCCCAGAAAAATTAAAAACAGAACCATCATGTGATGGAGCAATGACACTTATGGGTATACATCCCGAAAAGTTGAAAGCAGAATCTGGAAGACAGGTCTGTATACCTATGGTCACAGAAGCCTTATACACAATAACCAAGGGTTGGAAACAACCCAAGTGTTCATCAACAGATGGCGTGACAAACAGGATGTGGTATCTACACAGTGGAATATTATTCAGCCTTTAAGAGGAAAGCAATTTTGACACATGATACAACGTGTACAGACCTTGAGAACATTATGCTCAATGAAATAAGTTGGACACAAAAGGTGACACAGTGTAGGAATCCACTTATTTGAGGTCCCCAGAGTAGGTAATCTCATA